AACTAAGCGATTCCCAGAATGTACTTTCAAACCCAGACAGTGTCATGTTTACGTCTTCCAAACCTGTGGAATTTCGACAGTTCGAACCCGATAACATGGTGGAATAAACCTATCCAGCTAACTCTACAGTGACGCACCTAGGAAACTAATCTGCGGACACCAAGTCACGCCTAATATTGATATGCGATATAGCATTATGCACCGAGTATATACTAATACAATGATTCAAGTCACATTAAGTCGATATATATAATATAATAAGGGACAACATCAAAAGTTCAATGTCGGATAAAAAACTTAATTCCTTTAGTTTTTTCCCCAACCCCGCCACCTCCCACTGAAACTTAATTGATAAACATTGATCATGTCGTCAGACTACATTCAAATTAATAATCGGACAGTAGTATGGCATAGCAGTTGGTTCTAGGTCCATGCCCTGAAATTGACCTCATTTGACGCAAATATTTTCACTCGGGCCAAACCATTTTCTCGTCTTGGATGTTTGTTTCATCATTTTCTGTTATTTTTGATTAGATAGAAAAAAAAACGAACTACAAATACTCCATGATTGTTTTTGACTTGATTAAAAAAATAAAATCGTTTTTGTAGGATGGAAAAATTTTGAGGTCAATTTTTATGTTAGCTCAGTTGCAAGTAGGGCGTTTCGGGTGATGTATCACATTTGTACATGGTGATTTAAACTTACTATCATTAATTATTTCTGCTTCCTTACTTCAAAGCTTTTACTTATGAACTGTGCGACTGATATAATAATGTCTTCATTCTGTAACAATTCCATAATTTTTTTCTCTGCAGGATATTTTTTAAATGCTGGGATCATATCCTTAGATTTATTGAAAAGATTGGTACGCAACTCATTATATTTGTTGCATTCCATCAGAAAGTGCATTTCATCTTCAATTAGACCTGTGTTATACATGACACAAAGCCTGTTGTTTAAGGAGGGTTGGCAAGGGGTATTTTCGTGAACTGTAATCAATTGTTTTTATTTCCGTAATAATGTAATTTAAATAAATAAAAAACGTAATTTCGTAGACATGGGCAAGGCGTAAAATGTAATCAGCTATTTTATTCGTCCGTAATTTGTACAAAGATATTATTTTTGTAAGCGTATATAGCATTTTCCAAATTAAATGTAATTCGTACGCAATTTGCAATTTTGATTCTTAAACACAAATTATCAAAAATATTATAAAAATATGTAACTAGAAATTTGCTTTATCTGTTTAAGTGTAAAAACCTTTCTTTTTTTTATTGTAAATGAAACTTTCATTTTATTTCTTGTAAAAACATAAAATACCGTCTTTATTTCCGGTAACCTGTACCAGCAACACCCCCCCTTGCCGTCCTTCTTTAAGGAGATTTTTTTATGACGACCCATTTCAATTTTGAGACTATGGTCACTAAGACGAAATTTAGTAAGTATACTACGCAGTTCAAAGTTTTATAGGTTGAATATGGCTCAAGTTTTAAATCTGATTTGATTAGCCGATATGTTCTCAGTTTGTTTTTCATTTGCTTTGGTGCGGTTATCATTATGTTATAAACCTCACCATTCCATTTTGTTAGGAATAAATTTTGGATGCCCAAATAAATTTGTTTCATTTGTACCGAGGTTAATGTATCACGGTTGTTAACTGAATGATATTGTTGAATATCTTTTCAATAACGATGTTACTTCTAAATGCCAGTTACTTTTAACCGTTTCGGTTAACCACAAAAACTTCCTTGAGTAACACAATATTAGAATTCATGGCCCGACTGTAATTTTGTTTTTTATAAATACGTCTAGGGAGTATCTGCCTAACTCGCTATACATAATCGGTGTACGTTGTGACACCTTTAGTAGATACCGACAATAATATAATTGAACGTGATTTAGTGGAGAACTCGTCACCCCAAACATCACAACCATAAGCGAGGATGGGTCTGATAGGTTTGTCAAACAGGGGAATTGATACTTATATACTTATGTTTTGAATTGAGCCAAGCTTTGCTTTCATTGGAAACAGAGCTTTTTGAGCTTTATGTTTAAGGTTTTTTATGCCATCCTTAAACCTACCATTCACTAATGACTTCCCAGATAGTTAATAAGATTTAACTGTATCAAGTCGTTACCTCCAAGAAAATATGTATCATTATTTAGACGTCTGTTTGATTTATTGAAAATTATGATTTTTGTTTTGTCAGTGTTGACAGAAAGCTTCCATTTTTTAGCATACATTGCCAAACTATCAAGACATGTTTGTAACCCCTGTTTAGTTTTAGAAAGTATCACAATATCATCATCATGAAGTAGACAGCTGACATGTGAGTTTTCAAAATAAGGAGAATCACAGGTACCAGTATTGAAAATACTTGGCAGGTCATTTAAAATAAGATAGAAGGGAGTTGGACTAAGATTACATCCCTGTTTAACACCAATATTGGACTGAAATTGTTTTGTTAAACCTTGTTTACATTTAACTTTATATTTTACTTATTGTACATGTTTTTCATAGTTTCATACATGTTTCCTGTTATACCATATTTGATTAATTTTATGAAGAGATCATCATCATATTATACGAATGATAATATTCTGTACTCAAGAAATATGGATGTTTATTCTGTAGTATATTGCATAATATATTAATTAGAAATTTGATTGGTACCATAGCAGAAAACGTTACATATAGTCTGGAAAGAATGACAACACAATTACTTCGATACCGTCCAGTCAAAGACGTGTTTACAGTGAGTGAAACCCGGGTATATCGTACGACGTATGGTCCATCACAATCATGTAAGCGTGAATAAAATATCATCGTCATATTATAAATGCACATCTAGTTCACCATTGTCTATCGGCGGTTTCGTAGCAATCATAGATTGTACAATATCGCCATTCTTTTTTACTTTAACTTCAACAAATCCGATCTTGCGCAGAAGGTCGCACATATCAGCAAACGATCGCTGAAAACAACGTTCGGTGGAAGTCAGCAACATCAACAAGCCCATCATTGACGCTGCTAGTGACCCTCGTTTGTCGTCTTCATGAAAGCAGTCCAGAATTAGAACAGCGCCACCGGCTGACAAGCTATCAAACAGACGACACAAAAGTTGTTTGATTCGTTGCTCGGGCCATTTGTGAACGATATCCGTCAAAACAAAGAGGTCGACATCGGGAAAAGAGCCTTTGAAGATATTACCCCCTTTAAAGGTTACGTTATGGGAGTAAGGGTCTGCAGGTGTGAATTTACTGGCAACTTCCACCACGCTTGGTACATCAAGTACGGTAACTTTCATATGCTGGTAGACGGCAGCCAGAGCGAATGCAACAGCGCCAGTACCTCCCCCGATGTTACACGCGTGCTTGTATTGAGACAGATCAAACGATTTTGTTGCCGCGTCGCGGTAGAAGACGGTAGCTTTAGAATGCATAGATGCCAACAAAAGCAGCTTTTCATCATCGCTTTTGGCGCTATCTTTGTAAAACTTCCGACTGCTAATTCCAAACGCACGTTCTGCTTGTGGATTTCCATCTCGTACACCGAATGACAAATTGCCTGCAAGACCATACAAATATTTATCAGCGACCAGTATGCAGGGTCGCAGTGTCATGGGGCTCTCTGTAGTTAAGTACCTGCTTGAGAGATCGGAGTTGATAAACTTATCGTCGTTGCTGCCAAAGTCGTCAGGCGAAACTCTCGATAACGCCCCCAAAGATACTAAAGCGTTTAACAGTCTCTCCACTGCGTCTAACTCGGCCCCTAGGATGATACAAATATCACTGGCTGTTTTCGGTTCGTTTTTCAGCTCGTCAAATATGCGAAGTTTACAACCGGTCATGAGGGCCTGTGCGTGGAGATATCCATGCAGGTATCCCCATAAATCGTCTACGGACTGAGCCGCCATGATAGGGAAATGGCGTCAACCTGAAAACGAAATGAATAATGCAGTTAAATCCAAAAATATTAACAGCTCCCCCCCCCCAAAGAGGGGAGGGGAGGGAGAGTGGTTTCTTAGTATCTTCCATCATAACCCAGTCAGGACCACATCCAAATCTAATAAAGAAATCCTGATAAAGTTTAGAGGGCGACGATTAGAAATACACACATACTTGATAGAAAAGAGAAATCATTAAAAAATCCAGCTCAAAACTTAGTGAGGTTTTTATAATCAATATAATATACCAGTATACCGTAACCATGGCAAACGACCACATATTTTTGACATCGTGTATTTATTCGAATAAAGTGTGATATAAACGGACACTTGTAGGTTACATATACTTGCATATAAGACACAGACCAGTGTCAATATCCGTGTACTCGAAATCTTGGATTAGAACCAACAGAAGTCAAATTAAAACAGTGGGTTGTCATTATACCGAGTCTGTATGACACACAACATTCAATGAGATATGTTAACTAACCTCAGTTTGATATCGCTGGTTGTGGTGGTATAAACCCAAATATATACGACTGAGTTACGCCTTCGCTTATACACTGCGTGAGTTTCGACCTGCAATGTTTACTGCGTAAAAGCTCTTTAACATTGCGTTTTATTCGCTTTGTAATTGCAGAGGTTAGCACACCACACCTATTTGACATATTTCACATAGGTGATATGAATACCGTGTACTCCTTGTGTTTAAATTGGGCCGATACTCAGTAAACACTTATACGATGCTTTGAAAGCACCACCTTGCAGCAAATATTCACCTATTGCATTGAGGTCGGTCGCCAGGGTCGTCTCATGCACTGTCAGCGATACAACTCTGTACAATGAGACTTTTGTTTAGCATCTACAAAGGTACTTTTTTTCTATATGTTTTCCCTTCATTTGCGTACGGAATTCAGCCATAGTTCATGACTCAATGGGGTTATTCGTTGTGTTATTTGCTGTTTATTATAGGTAGTCCATCGTTGTTTCCAGGGTAGCTCAGTGACGGCTAGAACGTCTTTTATTATCGAGAATGAGTGTCATGTGACTTGCCGAAAAACAACGAGAAAGAAAATAAAATTACTGTTTTCAGTAAATTTAAATTCCAGGTCAAATTACTCGTATATATGGTAACCACTGTTTTTTATAATTACACAGTACCACGCATTCCAACGAGTCGTTTACATAAACCACAACCATGTGCTTGAGAGTACTTGGTTACTAGTTTATCGCAATTATTTTAGTTGACAAATTTATTGGAAGGTACAGGTTGTATTGTATAAGGTTGGTATTCGAAACCGAGTAGTCTCCCCCTCCTATTAGATTTCATTGGGTGCAATTAGATATTCAAATTTTACACAATGAGCTTA